CTTGGACGGTTTTTATATTTGCAAGGTTAAATAACTTTCACAGCAGCAGTTTCCGGGTTTTTCAAAAACTAATAATATACAATATAATTTATTGAATGATATGCATTATATTTTCTATTGTTTTCTTTTACCCCCTCTGCTCTGATTGTCTTGGAGAAAACAACTTCTTCTGCAACCTTACAGTAAGGCATGCGGTCTCCATTTTGTTAAATTCCCAAATATGGTTATTTGGCCGACAAAGGGCTTCTGAAACAACTTTCCCGGAATGGCTTGCTTTGTACACCTTGCGCACCATTTAGAGAAATTGCATCTTTCTGAATGTGCACATTGAGGCCAAGAAATCAATAGCTCTGGGCATCAATTTATTTATTTATTTATTTTTTACTCTCAAAGCGTTTGAGCCAGCAGATATATAATTTTTCATGTAAGAATTCAGGGAGAATGTGTCCCCTGTTACCTTTTAAAACTAACCCAAGTAATGGCTTTCTCTTGCTGGTGGTAGAAACCGCTACAAAATAAGTGTTTGGCTTCATTTTTATAACTTGACAAGATCATTTTGGTCCATTCTATGCTCCACAAATCGTTTGAGTAAAACCCCCTTTTTTTTTCTGCACTAAGCAAGTTCCAGATGGGAATGCTTGGTGTGGAAGAACTTAAAGACTCTGATCTCAACCCCACCAAACATGTTTTGAATGACCGAGAACCAATGTTGTGTTGCAGAAGAACTCCTGACTTCAGCAAGCCAAAATGCACAAGACGACACCGGTGTTGTTTGTGGCAGCCGTTTTAGATTGAGTCTTAGTCTGAGTCCTAGTCTTTTGGGCAACAATGCCTAATTAGTTTTAGTCATTCCTGCTTGTGATAGTTTTCGATGACAAAAACTCAAAAAGGTTTGAGTCGAATTTTAGTCGACAAATACAAAAAAAAAACGTTTAGTTTTAGTTAAGAATTGGCATATAAGGTTTCCACCCAACAGCAAAGACTGATCGACTAAGGATTATGCATGACACCCAGATAAAGTGGTAACAGTGAAATCAATGTTCATTACTCCAAAATAAGCACATAAAATAATAACACATATAACAAACTAAACATATCACGCGTTTAACAGCATGTTCATGGTGTAAAGTTGATATCATCCTGTGTGGATGAGTTTACACTCCCATTCCATAATCCCTAATGTGAGTTTGAAACCCTAATTTGAAGCCCTACTTTCAAAGCCGAACCCAATTTTAAACACCCTAATTTGAGCAGTTGCGGCGAATGGGAGTTTTCCCAAGCGGTTGCCCCTTCCACATGGCCATAAATATACAATCTGGGTGGAGGCCCCAGCTTCCGCCCCATTGGTGCTCCTCCCCCCTCCTTTGCACACCCGCGACCCTACCCGGTGATTGAAAAAGATGGAAAACTGTTGATAAAGAAGATAAACACCCCATTTATCGAGAACACGTCGACATCTCGGCATGGCTGCTGGAGTTAAGTGTTTCCTGGGCTGAGCTCCAGACAGCTGATGCATGTCACTGAAGAAAATAGAAAGCACTGCATTGTGTCACCTCAGCAGTGACCGTCGCTGTGCACACAACAGGACGCAGGATGTCAGGACCTTCCAAACATCTCAGCGATTTACAGTCACACTTTGAATAAGACAAGAAGAACGCCTTGGTTGCATTTGCATCCTGTGTGTGTGTGTGTGTGTGTGTGTGTGTGTGTGTGTGTGTGTGTGTGTGCGTGCGTGCGTGCGTGCGTGCGTGTGTGTGTGTGTGTGTGTGCGTGTGCGTGTGTCTGCCATGAAATGGTCCAAACCTGAGGGATGCCTCTGGCACCTCATCACAAGCAGACAATCCTAGTTGTGAAATGTTTCTCTGCTTCCAGGGTTCTCTGTGCCTCTCTTTGGAAATGTACTCTCTTGTTTACCATTTTCTGCACTCAAGAGCACAAAAACAGCTGAGAGCAAAAGGCGAAGTAGTGTACAATGGAGCACGCGGTGACATGTTGGACTGCTGGTTACACAAATATAGTGCTGTCTGCTCAGGGGATGAATATAAAGCATTTGTGTTGACTTCTGAGAGAAAGTTATAAATTGAAAAGAAAAAAAAATGACCGAAGGGGTGGAAAAAGGAAATATTTTCGAATATATTGTATGAATATATTTATTCTTGCGGTGTGGACCTCCGCAGCATTTGTCCCGCCTTTGTCACGAGATAAAGTAACCAAAATATAAAAATAAGCTTTCAAGGTTATTAAGTACGCTTCAACACCACTGCCAACATAATCACAATAAGCTGCCTTCTGTGACAGTGTCAGTCATTATGTCACAGCAGAATTGCAGGTGCAGCTCTTGGATCTGTGTGCTGGTGTACCTAATGTTGTGGTTTGCGAGCTGAAGACTGCAGAGCGCTGCTTTATAAAGCAGTCCATGTTGTAGTGTAATTACTAATACAGTGGTACCTTGCAATATGAGTGACCCGACTATGAGTTTTTTGAGATACCAAATACTATTCCTGCAGTCTCCATGAATGTTGCGACATCTGTATTATACTGCCCCCAGTTGGTCAGGGCAGATACACCAGGGGGAGCAGCATAATGTCCAATGTATTGAAGCAAAAAAAAGAAAAACTATTTAATTCTTTACATTCGATTCCATTATACCTTTATTTATTATTATTATTTTTTTAATAAAGAGCCTATAAAATGATGTTTTATGAGAATCACTGAACTTTTGTGTGATATGCTGTGTAATTCATCCAAATTGTGTGATCTGTGCACTCAAATTTCAAGGTATGCAACAGGCACATTATATACTGTACAGCAGGGGTGTCAAACTCGTTTTTGGCGCAGGCCACATCTTAGTTACCATTTCACTTGGAGGGCCGTTATGACTGAAACCATATAAAGAAGTCAAGAGTAACTGTTGATTTAACTGTTGTTTAAGTTACTATCATGAGGGGTTTGGTCACAAGAAAATGCTTAGAATATATCTCTTATTTATTACATATGAGAATTTAACATTTTGGTAGGCATTTTAGAAAAGATCATGGAAGTTGACATGTTGGAGCTGCTTTTGGCGGGCCACATAAAATAATGTGGCGTGCCAGATCTGGCCCCCGGGCCTTGAGTTTGACACCTGTGCTGCACAGCGTCTCTATATTCATTTATACAATGGTATCACATTTATGCTACTTTCAGTAAAGTAGACAACCATGAGTGCTTCTTGTCTTTCCTTTAAAAAAAAAAAAAAAACCCTGCAAACGTCATTGTTCATTTCATTTGCAAAGGACTTCGGCTCCAATCCCTTTGCTCTTCTCGGACCTTTTCTAACTGCACTTACTTTCCTCGATGTTGTCAGCTCCACTTTCTCTTTTCCCCCCTGCTAGCCAAAACTATATTTATCTAATCACCTTGCCCCCATTGGCCCGTTGTTGAAAAATCATCCTATGTTCATCACACCGTCAGAGCAGGTGGCGAACCGTTGGTAGCCAACACCTCGGCGAGGATTGGCACGCGAATCTGTGTTAGCAGAGCGGGCGAGGTGCTGGAACGTCCGTTTCGTTAGTGACCTTATGGCAGCTTTGAAGCAGCTCACACATTTTATGGTACCTAATGGATTCATACTCATCCAATTTTTTTCAGATCGTCATACGGTGATAATCACATTTGACCGTCATATTCACTTAATCACAGATGGCAAATCTGCAAGATCACGTGGCATGAAGGCGCTGTCGATGTTCACATGTTCACAATTCACGTAAAAGCAAATGAGGAAAGGCGCTGGAGCACTTCTCTGAGGTAATGGTGACATTTAAAGATGCGCTGGGTGTCACTGAATTGCCACTTTAGCGATATTTTCTCATGACAGTTGTAATGGAAAAAAAAATATTGATACAAAGTAGAAACCTCATGTAGTTTTAGATTTTGTGCAAGTGATGTTAAATATACATGAAGCCAAGTGACTGCTTGATAATGTATATTTCACTTTATATTCAAAGTTCCCTTTCAAATCCCATAATGTGATGTGAAGGAGAGCTATCTGGATGCACTTCATCATGCTGAGCGGATGGAAGATGGATCTGTTGATGATTGGATGTGAATAAAAGCAGAAAATGGGACCAGCACGAGAATAGTTTGGACTCCGAACTGGTCAATTGTCTCCTGCGGCTTTCTGATTATTTCTGTCATGTGAACGACAATTTCTTTCAGCGTTTGACCAAACACGCAGGTCATACTAAAAATTAGTCCAACGTGGTCAAATTAGATTTACAATATATACAGTGTATTTTGCCAAGTTTGCTGCAGAGATGTTTTTGTATTTTTGCCAACTTCCTGATTTGGTTGAACAACTGACTCGAATTGTGACTTCATTCACTTGTGGCTTGGAACGTATGACACACTTCAAATCCATCTGTGACAGAATCAAAACAGCACATTTGACAATAAAGTTGGATTCAGTTCAATTCAAATTCAATTCAAAAAGAGAAATTCTTTAGATAAGGGCAGGAAATATGACATTCTGTGGTCTTAATTGTGATGGGTTTGTTAATTTAATCCCAATTTGTTATTCATGCAGTTAAAAAAAAAATCTTAAGAAAACATATACGACAGCAAACGTGAGCAATTTTTTAATCTTGACTGCAGTCTATTAGACTTGTCTGCTTGTACAGTATCAGGACCCGCCATGATCCTATCAGCTAAACTTTCGTAAGTCTGATTCCATAAGAACGCAAGACTCTTTGTAAATTGGAATGGCTGTGTACTTGCTAACATCCTTGCGATAGCAGGACAAAATGCATTTGGGGGTATTTTTCTTACTACTTAACAGGTATCCAACCTGGTTAAAGCTAGCTGGCAAGAGCAACATCCGGCTCCTCAGTGCATTCTTGGTTTATTCGTACTTTCAATTGGAACAGTATTTGAGCCACAAGAAGGCATATTGGGAAACGGTTCTTGAAAATAGCCCGGCTCTGGAATATTAACCTTATATTGCCTTTGTATTCTATGAACAGAAAAGAACACCTATGATGGTTCTGGCTCCTCGTCTTTACCGAGCGACCCCGCAGTCCCAGCTGCTCCTGCTCATCCTTCAGCTGACCAGCGGGTGCCTTTTGCGGCCCCCCACTCAGAGGCTGGCTCAGAATCTGAGGGGCAAGGCCTATCGGGCCTACCTGCCTTTTCATCTGTCTTATCTCTCATGGCGGAAACTGTCAAACACCCAGAGAGCCTTGGTCGTAGTCGAACTTCCCCGACACTCTCCACTGATAGCAAAATCACTCGATGGCCTTCACACAGTTCCAGCCGAGACTCAGAGACGCCGTCTTCATCGTCCCCAGGAAGTTCATGTAAGAGCTTCTACACCACTTTTTGCTTTTTCCATGGTGATGAATTGTGTTTGTCTTGAATGTCACACACATCCTCATCATCGCTGTCTCCAGCGACTTCCTCAAGTGGTCATTATTGTGCCCATCTGCCTCTCAATGGATTTTTCCTCTCAAGGTCATGGAATGGTTCCTAACTCTGTTCCACTGTATTAAACACTCACATCCATTCATTTTCTATACCGTTTGTCCTCAGTATTAACTGCGGGTGAGCTGGTGCCGATCCCAGCTGACTTTGGGCAATCAAAGCAGGGTACATCCTAGACTGGTCGTTAGCTAATGCCAGGATGCATATTGACAAACTAACATTCACAATCACATTCGCACCTCTGTAAAATCTATGTCGTTTAATCAACCTAACGTTCACATTTTAGGAATGTAGGAGGAAGCCAGAGTACCAGGAGAAAATTATACATGCACGGGCAGAACATGCAAACTCCACACAGGAAGGCTGAGATTCGAATCTTGATATTCAAAAATGTGAGGCAGACCATGAGGTCACCATGCTGCCCTAAACCGTAACGGTCACGCTTTTCATTGGCTCTTGCTTGGAAAGGGTTTTCCAATCATCTGGCCAACGAAGATGTTAATCCGCCAAATTTTATTCAGGTATCACAAATCATAACTGCACTGCACTGTCTCTTTACTCTCATCACCAGCAATAAAACGGACAATAAATTGAAAGTACGCATTAATGAATCATCACTTGATAATGTCCAAGTAGTAAGTAGAGACACATCGTCCACGCTATGAACAATGTTAAATGAAAAGAACTCAGAAGCACTCAGGATGTCTGGACTTCAAAATGAGCGTTGCGGAGTTTCCTTAATTATTATAAGCATATTTCTGCGTAGTGATCAGACGCTGGTATCCTAAGAGACATATAAGCGTGATTTACTGGTGATAGGTGGACAAACTTGGCCTTAAGTCCCTTTCCTGATATCTCAATTTTTGAGGCTCACCTCTTCAGCCCGAGTGCACCAAGGCTTGAATATGGTGTCAGATTAATTCCACTGGCCAAGTCATAACTGTGAAGAGTGTAGAACCCAGGAGGATGACAAATGCGCTGGGGTCTTTTTCTCAAAAATGATGGACTGTCTTTGAAACAGAGCTTACATAAGACATTATATTGTGTCATGAAGGAAGGACCACAATTCTCTGTCAAGTAATGAAAGGATCACTATGATGGGCACGCCAATGAAGATTTACGGAAAAGTAATAAAATGCTTGCCGGAATGAACCGAACTGAGTGGACTTGTTTCTTGTCCAAAAACCCGCATAGCGGTGACACCGCCAATGATGGGCAGCATACAGAAGTACTGAGCTATTAAGAACTATTTTCAGCTTTGGCACAAAAGTAATGGCAGCACATGGAAAGTGGAGCACCACCAAAGATGAACCATTTTTAGAGAAACACCTTTGAATCAGAAAATACAGCTTCTGGCTTTTTTTTTTTTTTTTTTTTTTTTTTTTTTTTTTTAATAATTCAAATTTAGCCGCAGATGGACCATCACAAGGACATCCAAGTTTGGACGATTGACAATTATGCATGTGCATATTTCAAATTGGATTCATCTAATAGGAATGAGAAGTGGTTGTTATTATAATTATTATTAGTAGTAGTTGTAGTTTTAGTAATTGCGGATGATTCCTGCACTTGAATGAGCTCATCTTAAGTAAAGTGTATCTGGCTGTCACTTCTAAACAAGCATTAACCCTAGCATGAAACTTTTTCATTGTACTGTATGGCAATTAGTTTTCTATTGTATTTTTACTTATTTTTTTAATTGTTATTTTTAGGTAGTTTTCATTAGCTTCTATTTTTTTAAAAAAAAGTATTGATATAGTTTATGTTTTAGTATTAGTTTTAGTTTAAAAAAAATGTATTTCTTGACTGACCTTCTGTTCGGCTGTACTGTACAATAATGCTGAAATAAATACATGAGAAATTAAAAGCTCATATATGGAAGCAATTGACAAAGACTAAAACAAACGTCATTTTCACTGGAATGAGAGATGGTTTTATAAACACGGACAGTTATTTCATTATGATTAACGATCATAACTTTGCTTCCTACATGCATCATCACCCAGTCTGGCCTCATCCACAGTACATCCCTCATGGGTAATCCCCCACACTGTTTGTCTTCTTATAGTGGCGGAGAAGGACAAGTTAACATCGAGAGTGTCTGCGCCCGCTGCTCCCAAAGAGGCCAGACTATCCCCCTCTAAATCTACCAGAATGACTCCTCCTGGGCCCACTGAGAGGACATCTCAGGTATCACCTCTGACCGCTCAACAGGACACCACAACAGCCTCTGTGAAACTCAGCACCACAAATGTGGCTGCAAGCACCACGACAAGAATGCCCCAGACTTCTACGCCTTCGCAACGAGTCACCACCACACAGTCCATCCCCACAACCTCGGTGCTGCCTGTGACCGTCTCCTGGAAAACAACCACCATCGCAACCATCAGGGTTCCATCGACCAGGAGACTATTCAACCCGCCCATTCTGAGGACGAACCCTCCAAGAGGAGGCACTACTGTCTTCGTCTCCCCTTTTACCACCACCACCGAAGCTCCACCTCAGCAGTGTAATATCACTGAAAGAATGTGGGTGAGAACAGGTAAATGTGATCATTGTTGATTTGTGTGTCATAGTTCACTTCTCAGATTTTTTTCTTTATTCATCTCTACATTCTTGTGCCATAGTTGTGTCCATCTATGTGAGGAGGAACAGGCTGGACAGCATCCAGAGGCAGAATCTACGTCGAGGACTCAGTCAAGGCCTCCAGAAAGCTCTGAATGATAGCTCAGCCCAAGCACAGGTTGGATTATCACTTCATGCTATAAATTTGCTTTCTTTAAAGCAGTGCGTGTCGAGTACATTTGAAAGAGTGGTGCGTACAGCCTCACACGTACATTCGGGTATGCGCTATCCAAATTTGTCACTCAGAAATGTTGCTTTGAAAAAGATAGAAAAGATTAGCCCTCTTTAAGGTCAATGCTGAACCTTGAAGAGTTTCACTCCGAGATGTACTGTATCCAAGCCTTTTTCTACAAAGAAGAATCACAATTGATTTCAAAAGCTCTTTTTCTCTCTCTCTCTTTCTCCTGTTTCTTTTTAGCTCACCTGTATTGTCCGCACTACAAGGCGCACCTAAAAGCATTAAATTTTATCAAACGCTAACAATGCACCTTATAATCCGAAGCACGTTATATATGGATCATTATTCTGATTTCTTGGATGTAGTATTTTAAATCGCTTTAAAGCGCTTTGTTACAGCTGCAGCAGTTGTGAAAGCTCAATATAAAGCTGTATTGTATTCCCTTTAGCGTAGCCCCATCTAGTGAATGCCTGATGAACAGCAGCCACTATTGTAGCTCAATTCTATGTGCCTTATATTGCGGTACACCCTATGTAGGTAAACAGTTTTAAAATAGTCCATTCATTGAAGGTGCGCTTTATACTCCGAAGCGCCTTATAGTGCAGAAAATACGGTATATACATAGATACTCCAAATGAAGTGTCCAGTGGGTTCGGTTGTGGTTTCAATGGCTGTTGAATGAGTATGCAATATTAAAATACAATTCTGTTTTTCATTGTGATCGTCATTAGGGTTGGGCATTGTTTGAATTTGAAAGATTTTCGGTTGCAAACGATTCTTGATTTCAATTCCTCCGATTCGAGGGCATCAAAAAAGTTTGAATAATTTAAATAATTTGGGGTGTCAAAACTGCAGTTTCATTTTTTTGGCGTCCTGTGTCATTTGCCTGAACTAGGTGGCAAAGTCGAAGAGGTTTATTACCTATATTTTAACTACTGTATACATATGTGTTTATGTATGGATAAGTGGCTTCAGTGGTGGAGAGAGAGAGAGAGAGAGAAATAGAGAATGCCCATTCAGGCAATGTGGGAGAGCGGAATTTTAAAATGCAAACCAATCCGGTTGTTTCCCTTGACACACATTTGGAAGTTTATAAACTCAAAGTAAATTGAACACTGAGGCCAAGGACCCCCATGTAGGCTATGCGAGGACTGATATAGTAATGAGGTTGAGTGATTCCATCCCACAACGCAGTGGGTGATGAGGTACAGTGTCTAAATTAGTACCGCAGCAGTCATCAAGATGCCATGTCTTGTGATGGGGAATGTGAAAAAAGAAAAAAAAAAGCATATTATTTGTGGTTAGTGTTTGCACTGACAGCTTTTTTTCTGGTCACTCAGTGAGGTAATTATAACACCTGATATGAGCGCATCTACTTCTACACCACTGCCAACTAAATCAACAATAACAAACATGTTTCAGAATAAATACCTCTCTTATAGTGTTATTTGAAGTTCCCCACCTGAAGGTCAGCGCTCTCCCACGTCTCCTTGAAGCTCACAATGTGTCTGGCCTCACTGCATTCCCATCACCCATTTCACAACGGGATCCTTGGGCTTCTTTGAGTAGCGTTGCGCTTTCACTCGATGCGATGCACGCTGTTGGCAAGGGCAGTCGCCCGTGTGTTTAATTAAGGCTTAGAAACGGTTGGGAGGTGAGCAAACATGTAGATGTGACGCGGATGATGGCAAACCAGTTTTGAATCATTACACGAAAATGACCAACCACATTTTAATGTGTATCTTATGGATAGTTATTTTTAGCTTCAGTAGAACTTGGAAGTTGAACACCGTTTATTCCATGACAGAAGTTAGCCATTATGAATATTAAGACTGAATTATAATAAAATTGATCTTAATTATGCTAAATGACATCTTAATTCGAACAAAACTCATCTTAATAACAAGGGACAGGTTGATTTATGTCACTGATGTGCCTGACAGATCTCTCTTAACATTCTGAGACGTTATTAATAATTACACAGCAACAAAACACTGTGCCATGTTGATAACAACTGGCGGCAAATATGGTGAGCCTGGGGGGCTTTGAATGCAAGTCCTCTGACTTTACATAATTTGTATTATATTTGTAATTCTCTTTTTGTGCTTTTCTTCTCTGAACACACCTTGAGACTGGCCCGTTCTTCGAAAAGGACTCACCAAAATCCCAGAGAAAGCGAAAAAAAATGGCAAAATACACAGTTACTCACTTGGTGGGAAAGCCTGCCAGTCATTGTCTAGCATAATGCAGTGAATTGTTCCTCTTAGCTTGTACATTTTAGTTGTTACCCCTTATTACACTTATTTGTTTGCAGTGATGTTACAAACAACATTCTGAAACAAATTAGAGGTGTGAACTCCAGATATTAGTGCAATATTTTACCAGCGATACCTATAATCATAAAACAGGAATAATCCATTACGCTATTGCCAGGGAAAACTTTAATGTGGAGTAAAACCACAATAAAAATGCAACATTGTGAGCCATGATATACATACAGGTGTATATATACACACACACACACACACACACACACACACACACACACACACACACACACACACACACACACACACACACACACACACACACACACACACACACACACACACACACACACACACACACACACACACACACACACACACATTTTATTATTTTTTTCCAATGCTGTCTCCCAGCACTGTCACACACTTTTACCATCTGTGCACGAGATTCCAGATTCCCTCAGCGTAAAAATCTTTGGACTGATGTCTCAGCCAGTCGCTCACAACACGTTTGACTTCATCGTCACTTTCAAACTTCGTGCCAGCTACTGTGAACTGCTGAGGCAGGTCAAGAAAGACATCAAGAACAAACGCAGGGGTCATCAGTCAGAAGAAGTCATCTTGCATCATGACAACGCAAGGCCTCACACAGCAGCCCAAACGGTGCAGACCATCAATGAGAGCTGGCCTGGGAACTGCTCCTTCATCCCCCGTTATCTATCTATCTATCTATCTATCTATCTATATATATATATATATATATATATATATAGAGAGAGAGAGAGAGAGAGAGAGAGAGAGAGAGAGAGAGAGAGAGAGAGAGAGAGAGAGAGAGAGAGAGAGAGAGCGCTACTGTTTGGATATGTGTTCCATATGTGCCATAAACTGTGAAATATTCCCTGCTTCTTAGCAGTACAGTATAAGCATGCAATGTGAAATATCTTGGCTGATTTCATGACTGACTTTGAATTGTAATGTTTTTAGGTGGAGACTGTATTTGGTTCACCCAACATGACGGTGGCTTATCACGTGACTGGAAAAGACATGGTTTACGTACCCTCCATGGTGCTTTCGGGTTTGGATGCATATGGGCGCGATAAGCTGATTGCAGACCTGCGACAGTACCTCCCCATGGTTACAGCTCTCCCCATTCCCGTTGCAATGTGGAGAACTAGCCCGGCACCCGGCTTCCAGCTGAAAACAGGTCAGGACCAAAGAAAAAAATAAGATTATCTTAAGACTTTCTTCTATAGTTATGTTATTATGCTTCTAGTGGAGCTTCTGCGCTGATGATTAGAGAAGAGGAAACCATTACGATAACTTTCTCAGTTGCTACGTTAATAATTAATCACGCTCAGTTTAAGTCATATTATCACGAATAGAAACATACAGTCAGAGCACTTGCCCCTCCACATAACATGCAAACACGGAAAACGAGTGTAGCTTCGGGGCTCATCTCATTTGTCTAATTGCAGCTCCTCGATTCTTTGTTTACATGCTAGCACCTCCCATGAGAAATTAGCACCAACAATTAATATTGTCGTTCCACGGGAAGGAAATCAGAATGAATTGATAGTGCCCAAATGTTGTGAAGTTTGCTGCCGCCATCTTGCGGTGGGGCATCTGAAGAGCACTCGTTTATCGGATTTTTTTTCTCGACTCTCAAAACAAAAAAAATCCGTCCGATCAGCGGCAGCAGCGTATATCAAGGCACCATTGAATTGCTGTATTATATTTGAATAATAATAATAATAATAATAATTATAATAATAATAGTGCGTTGCGTGGTGCTAGACTGATTAGCATGTAAGCCTCACAGTGAAGAGGTCGAGGGTTCGACTCTGGGCCCTGGCCTTCCTCTGTGGATTTTACATGTTCTCCCCTTGCCTGTGTGGGTTTTCTTTCCGGTACTCCAGTTTCCTCCCACATTCCAAAAACATACATGGCTAAAATAAAGGCTCGTGACTTCTGCTGTTTCTTTTGCAGTTCTGCAGTTTGTGGGAGCTGTCGATGATCCACGCTCCTGTCAGTTTTCTCAAATGATGGAAGAGAGGCTGAAGAAGGTTTTCTCCGAAGCACAATCCAAAGTACTCGGTGTCCACAGCAAACTGTCTGTACAGGTAAATCTTTCCATTTGCAAAAAAAAAAAAAAAAAAAAAAAAAAGCATAGATAATCTGTGAAGTCTATAAAACAATCTGCTCTCTTGGTTTTCCATACATTTCCTCCAATGTCATTTTCTGTTTCCCTTCCTCTTAATTTTCCTGTGTCCAGATGCTGAGTGTCTCCCAGGCTGCGGGCTCGTCTGCTGTGTCATTGGTTTACAGTGTGAAAAATGGGACTGTCTTTCTTAATGGCACCACTGCTTCAAACCTTCTTGGTCAGCTGTCCTCTGAGCTGGTGGGCTATTTCCTCTTCTACCCACCGCTTATCGTCGCTGAACGTAAGTCACAATTTGGCCGGTAAAGTGCATCAAATGCAAGTTAATGGCACCATTTATTTTTCGGATAGACGCCTACTATGACCCTTTTAACCTGTAACAAAGCATACTGATCATTCATTTATGTGGACCATTGTTTAATATGAGGTGATATACTGATATACCCTCCTATGGTTCAACCTTATTGCCACCTTGCAGTGCCATGGCTCCTAATAAACAAATTAACTGTACGTGTTTCATCTCAGCCTCATTTGCTAGCCAAGTTCTCCGTCTATGTTTTAGATGTGCTTAAAGCAGAAAAACAGCAATCCTGACAGGGAATCAGCATGAGCTTAAACAGCATTCCCATAGAGACCCAGTGTGCCGTCTGTTCCCATTCCATAGGAAGCCTCAACTGCTTTGAGTCAAATGCAAAATCCTTTGGTCTAATAAGAAGCAATTTTGAAACCAATTTTCTAAGCCCGGAGAGAAAATTATTTCTTTAACTTCATGATAACAGCGAGATCATCTACAAAATGAATGTTGCAAAGCTGAGGTGACATATTCTTACTTCTCTGAGATGCAAGAGAGAAGTTTCGTGTCAAACACAAACAGCATCGCTTGAGGGGATACACTGAAAGGCTATAAAAAAAGTACATAGACTGTTTTATTTTGCATTTATTTTTTACAGTGGATATTGAAATGTACCACAAACGGCTCTATGTGGCAATAGAGATGTCAATATTTCACACTCCACTGAGCTATTTGGAATAATGTCATGTCTGCCGACAGATTTTGCTGTCATGTCTGCCGCAAGTCAAATTGTCTCTGCACACAAAACAGTTCCAAGCTCATCAGCAACCTCAGCAAAGTTTTTGTTCACGCTTTGATCTTGGTCCTCATAAGCGGTCTCAAAAGCAATATGAATCAGGACCTTCACTTAAAGAAGACGTTTGAATAGACTCAGAATGCATTTTTTTAATTTAAAATTTCACTACAAGCATTGTCGTGAATCAACTATTGACATATGGCAGTTGTGTTTACACCGAGCGTGGCGATGTATCTGAATTGCTCTTAATGAGCATTGACTTAAGCTCTCATTAAAATGACACCAGGGAATGAGTTTGCCTCCAAACAGTTTTGGTGCCAAGAAGGAAAGGAAGACTGCAAAGTGTAAAAAAAGGCTCACCATGAGACAAAACCGCAAATGAGGGGATGCGTGTTTTTCACCTTGTCCTTCGGTGACTTCACTGCTGCTCGCAGGAAGTGTGACTCCCTCCTCACGTCCAAGTCAATATGTCCTGGCAATAATTAACAGCAGGTGATTCTCTCACCGCCGTTGGACTTGGCTCGAACAACCTGGAAAAACCACCATCCCCGCAGTGCCTTTTGACAACACAGAACGCACCACTGGTTCTGTAGTGCCTGATGTGGGCTTGGCGTTGCTCTCAGCCACTTTACTCCCACTTCACTTTCCCTCAAGTGGAATACATTGCAAGCCGAGTGTCTATTTTGAGCCGAAACAATGGATCTACCACCGAGTGTAAAATTCGTCACCCATACTTCTGGGTGGCAATAAGTCAAGCATTCTCAGAGGAAGCAAACCCTTTACATGTCATTTGACCAAGGCACAATGTTGATTTGAAAAAAAAGAGTATAAAATTATTTTCTTCCATTCTCTTTTCGTAGGATACACACAAAATGTCCTGTTGGCTTCATGTTGATGTTTTTGAGTGGAAATAAAATGTTAGGGGGATAGTTTGCGGTGCAACCCCAAACACAACGGGTTTAGTCATCGTTTCCAGATCGGGTTAGAAGAGTTAGTTACTTACGTTCTACCACTCAGAAGTACCCTGATGCCTTTCATATACAAAAATGATGATAAGGGGTATTGTTATGTCGTATACGTGGAGAGTTATGGATAACAAAATAGTGGAATTACTCTCATCCAGGCTCAAATTTAAAAGCTCCTTGAAGCCAAATCCCACCAATGGGCAGCTATTTCCGCAACAGTCCTAAGCTGGTATTTGGGGGCTTACAAGATCAGCCTCCCATTAAAATAAATTGACAAAGAGCCAATTATTAATGGCCATGAGAAGGTAAAAACTGCTGACTTCGCATCACCAAATCGGATATAAAATGCTGACATTGCCTTGACGTAGCGATAACCTGCTATTGATGCGTTTCTACGAGTGTTGTGTGCATACAGCAATTTGAGGAATACCCCAGCGCAATTGAGCAACTAGAGGAACCGGGTCCTGTGTCATTTTGGATAGCTTGAGTCTGCATGCTTTAAAAATGGCATTCTGCCGGTTCGCAAAATAGCAACTTGGGGAAACTGGGAAAAGAAGTCGATACGGAGGAAGACTTGATCACACCATGGGTTTGTCGCCAAGACTTTCTATAATCTGACCATGGTGAGTCTTCTGAGCATCCACCGTGAGAATTGGATGAGCAGCGTGCATAAACCATGCTTTTAATACACAGATAGCCAAAACATCATCTTTTTCTTGGCTTTCTGACAGTTCATTGTTCTGCAACAATTTCAAATTTAGACTACCAACACCTACAGGACTGAGAAAGAACAGCAAAGTCTAGTCATCGCTCTTACGCCGTGATTAACTGGTGATTTGGAGCACCTCTCATCTTAATGGATCCACAGCACTGTCTTTAATCCAAGACCCAGTCCAGATGCTTCAACGCTACCTTTGACCCAAATCATTGAACTGATTTTACGTCGAGCCCCGTGGCTACAGTATGTTTTTCCAAAGTTGAATTTCCATCCTCAATCTTTTACTCAGCCACCGTTATGCTGCTTTACTACTGCCGTGATGGCCCGAGTGTAACGTGAGTCTGCTTTCGCAGGCCACGCGATACAGCGTCCCCTGCAAAAGCTTGCAGCAGCCCACAGCGCAGCAGTTTAATCAAGCAGGAAATAGATGTAAAAAGAACACGGCATCAACCGGAGCTTAAGCAGCCGAGCGCTCTCCTTGCTGCTGTGTTTGTCTAACACGCAGCCAGCTCAAATTTGTATCGCACTAAATCAGATATTTGACACTTCGTAACCAGATTACAATGATTAAATCCCCGACTCACAGGGAACATTTCTTTTTTGAGCGACTGTTGATGTCAGAAACACAAAGCAATCGAATGATGACTGAAATGGCAAAGAAATGTGTTTACGAGCAGTTTGAAATTGTTTTTTTTTTTCAGCCATATTTGAGGAAATATCCTACAGGAGTCTGTGATTTTTTATGAGCTTTAGTTTCATTTGATAGGGTGTCAAAAGCCACTTCTAATGTCTGAAAATGTTGAACTATAAATTGATAGACCCAAGTCTCTATACATATAATCGGGTTTGAGTTGCTCAAAACGCTTAATATTTTCAAAGAATAAAATCAGAGCTACCTCTACCTGTAAAAAAAAAAAAAAAAACCTTTCCGTATTGTACTGTATGGACAAGTCATTTTGAATACATTTAATACTTCGTCAGATATGAAATTACAGAACGAAATCAAAACAATAAAAATTAACTTCGTTTTTAGATTTCAGTGAAGTGGGTTAAATACAATATATTTTTGTGTTTACCTTTTCAGCGCTGGAGTATCACAACCTGAACACCTCTATTGCCACCAGGGACTTTTGGGTTATCACAGGTAAGAGTATTAATTCATTAGTAAGATTTTATTCTTTTTTCCCCTTCTACTTCAGGTTGTGTGTCGAAATCCGCCGCACTTGTTGAAGTGTGTGCACATTTAACGTGCATTCTGAGACAATTTCTTTTCTCTCATACAGTTGCAGGCCAGGTTCTTACTAGTCCTCTATTAATAGACCAAAATGCTTCTCTCTCAACTTGAACTTTCTGTGATGTGAGGCCAAATCTTTTCAAGGTCTTCTGTTTGATAATATTTGGTGATATTCAACCAGTGTTCTTATAGTAAAGGTAAACTATCGAAATCATCAAAACTAAAATTGAAAAAAGATTTTAGTTAACAAAATAACATGAAAACAGAAAATGCTTTAAAAAAATAAAACAAAAACTAAAGTATCTCAAAGTGACTATAATGATAGTGAAAATGTCCTTAGTTTTCGTCTTTGCCATTTAATATCACACATCACATGGGTCAAAGTCGAGGCCTGGGGGCCAGATCCGCCCCCCCCCCACATCATTTTATGTGGCCCGCGGGAGCAAATCATGTGTGTCAACTATCATGATTCTTGCTGAAATCTACACCGAAATGTCAAAGTGTTATGGGTAATAAATAATGAGATTTTCCACCGGCCCTCTGAAGGAAGCCGTAACTCCGAAGTGGCCCGCGACAAAAAAGGAGTTTGACACCCCTGTCATACATCAACATTCCGGGTTCATTTTTAAGGTATTTGTTTCGATATTGCTATGCATCAGCAAAGAAAAAGGAAGGTGTAAGTTTTGAGAATTACAATTTATATTACTTACACAATACATGGTGACCTTTTTTTTCCTTTTACTCAACAAATACACCATATATTTATAAAACTAATACTAAAACTAATAAAACAAAATTTAGACAGTCTTTTGGAAAAAAAAACTTCGAAAAACTAACAGACCTTCTCTAAAAATGAATTAAAATGAACTGAAACAACAAAAGTCAAAATGAAATAAAAACTAGCTATCAGGAAAAATGAGAAAACTATTATTACCCTGACTTAAGATACAGGCCTTATGACTCTCAATAAAATGAAACAACTTTCAGATACACAAGGTGATCAGTGATCAGTGAATGAGTGGAGGTAATAAGTAGTAGGGCTCACTTGCTGGTAATAAAATCCAAATCATGTAAATCCCCAACTTTTGCAATCGCATTCTGTACGTGTCTCATTTCGCCTCTGTGTCTAACAGATTTTTAACTCGCTGGGGGCTCTCTCCTATGTTGTCCCCGTTCACAGTAATCCAGGATGTGGATAACGCCAGCCTGGCCGAACTGTATCAAAGCTTTGCCAGTCTGATGGAACAACGGCTTGCCGAGTTGTTTGTGTTGGCAGGCCAGCAGGGCACTCGCTTCAAACGAGCCACCGCTGTCGGCAGTTACACTGTCCAGGTATGATAAGAGATAGTCGTCCGTGGGAGTTAGCGGCTCTCAGTTGCTCTGAAAGAAAGAATCATGTATAATAGATGCTACTGAGTGCCCCGCATGAATTTATAGCATGCAGTGAGAATGTTTGTTTGCCTCACAGCATCAAGGGTCAGATTAGGATGTTGTTTCAGATCTAAGTTTGGACCCGACTGTCTGAACTTTGCACGTTCTCCCTCTCCTTGCATGGGTTCTCTCCAGTTACTAAGGCTTTGTCCTAGAGTTCAGAAACATGTTCGTTACATCGACACCTGCAATATCCATGGCATCCACTCATTTTTTTCATGAGCCAGTGACGCTTTTTCATTCGCACTATTCCTGCAAAGTGATCAGCCAGAGTATTAAGTGTGCCGAGTTGATACCAATAGAACGACTTGCACTCCTGCTATTTGCTCGTTCGTCGATAGTGTTGTGCTCAAGACCACACAGTTCGAGACAGAGACCAAGACTTTTTGGCAGTCAAGGCCGAGACAAGACCAAGACCTTCAAAATGTGGTTTTAAGACCGGTCTCGAGACCAAGACTGGTCTTGAGTGTTACAACACTATTGCTTGTGTCATTGTAATACATGACGATGCACAGCTAGCAATGAGAAAAACGAACCCACATCCTAACCTTCAATCTATTGTTGTGCCGTCACTCTATACGCTGCAATTACACTTTACAAGCTCTACTTGTCTTGGTGTACTCAGTCTTCACTCAGACATACAGTGAATCCTCATTGCTAGTTCTTTGCATGCCTCCTTCAGAGTGACGGATTCAGCGCAGTTTTTTTTTTTTCAGTTTCCCAAAGTAGCATTTTGTAGTGCAAAAAATGACTGCTCCAAACCGATTTGTGTCGAGCTGAGCCAAGTCAGTACCGTGCAGTGGAAAAGGTGCATTCATTGCCCGTAATTGTAATTGTGAATATGAATGGCTGGTACAGTTTAGTTTGTTTTGCGATTTCCTGGATGGGCTCTCGCTTGTGTGTGACCCTGATCATCAAAACAATTCTTGTCTATTGTTTTTTTTTTTTTTTTAAATAGCAGCACACGATATTGTTTTGATGTTCTACTGTTTCGCCTGATCAGATGGTGAGTCTCAGAAGAGTGCCGGGAATAAAGAATCCAGCAGAGATGACCTACTATGTGCAGCACAATGGCATTCCTCTAGCGGGAGTGTCAGCTGCCAAGGCGCTCAACACGGTGGATTCTCAGACCATGGCGCTCACCCTGGGCTACTTTGTTCAACTGCAAGCAGAACGTAAGCAACAGCAGCCTTTAAGTGTTTGACAAGTGGACGTTGACAACCTCAAACCACATACGGGGTTTAGAAAGAAGAGCTTCGGAAAGCTTTGTGTTCTATAATCTCTCTGAAAGGCTGCCGGCCGGACATTGTTGGCACAGGCTGCAGAGCTTGGTGAACAGAACAAGAGGGAGACAGTCCAGACAGTTAAGAGCTGATAGCATTCTCTCATACAGTAAAGTGTTGCCCAAAATAGACTCGACATTAGGTTGAGCTGAATGTGGAGTATTTTAGCGTGGGTACAATGGCCACATCTGCATGTTTTAGGAGGCTAATGTAGCCGATGTATTATATTATGCATTGATCAAGCATATCATTCGCTAGACCAACTTGTGCATTGTACCACACTGTATAATTTTTAACACGACATTGAGTATGCAACTGCCGATAGAGTGAAACCCCGCATTTTGCTGCGGGGAGTGACTGAGCCCTGCTGTGAAAAATGAACACCTGTAAGTAATTGACACCGCACCAAAAAGTGTTATAATTGCCTACAGATGCCACAAGATGGCGGCAAAACACTTTTCTTTTCCTCAATGAAGCTCCTCAACTCACTCCAAAACAGTTCCTTGAAGGTCACAGGCACTCGATGTTGGTTTTCGGCCTTGCCGTTTACATGCAGTGACATCTCCAGATTCTCTGAACCTTTTGACAATGTTATGGTCCATAGATGATGAAATCCCTCAATTCCTATAACTATACATGATTCATGATTGAACATTAAAAAGGATAATGTTGAACCAATCGTTAAAAAATAGTGGCCACTTCATTAAAAAACATGATTGTTGCAATAAAATGATGACGGCAATGATAATGTTTGACATTCCTCAGCTGTGGTCAAGAACCCTCCAAATAACCTTTGGATCATCGCTGCAGTGTTGGCTCCCATCGCTGTTGTGACACTCATCATTCTCATAACCACAGCTGTGCTATGCAGAAGAAACAAAAAAGACTACAAAGCGGATGCAATTGGAAACCTGAATCCACGAGCTAAGGTAAATGTGTATAAATCCATAAATTGAATTGTGTCCATGCATATCAACCATCCGTTCAAACACTCCATGAAATATTTCTTTCTGAAATAATTATAGATTACGGAAGACCCAATTGCTGCTACAATATTGTCTCCTTTACTTTGAACTTTATTTTAAATTCAATTTCATTTCTATTATTTTTCCCCATTTGGTACCTAAACACAATTCTTATGCATCATAAGAGCCATCCTAAACGTATTATATTGAAAATTCCAAGTTATATTGGACAAAAAAAATGGCTGACATCCGTGCGGCATGGGTTCAGGTGTATGTGAGTTTGAATAATTGTCTGTATGTAGATAGTGTGTGCCCCGTGATTGAGTGGCAACAAGTCAGCATTTCACGCAAAGTCAGTTGAGCTCGCCAAGTGGAATAGAAAATGTATGGGTTGAAAAAAATAGCTTCATGACTTCACGAAAATAGAGATGATAAAAAAAAAGGATAATTAAAACATCAAACGACGATTTATCACATAATTGATGTAGCTTTAAGATTCATACTACCATCCATTGCCCTATCCAATCCATCATTCCACTTTTATTTATTCTTCTATAATTAAAATGAGATGCCTGTAGCTACCTACTATGTCCCGTTAAAACACTTTTCTTCACTTTCAGATGGCGTACCGGAGGGACGTCAACTACTACCATCAGGTACAACAATTTCTCTCTTTGCATGGTGTCAAATGAGAGCTTCGTAGGAACTATCTCGACTGCCGTATTTTGTGCCGTGTTGATGAAAACTACCAACACAGCAGCCCACTGGAGCTCTAACGCTTTTTATAATGGGATTCTCTTGGATGAAAGACAATTGGCCTCAAGCAATCTCCAGATGTTCCTTGACAGATCCAGCCAGCTTTTACACAGAGTGTTTATGAAGCACAAGCGTGTGAACTTATAAGATTGCAAAGAAGCAGGGTGTCGATCTATCCCGCTCAAACTCCTCTGAGCATCTCCCGCGTACTGTCATTTTTGCTGAGCCTGGCTTCTCTTCACCCGAATGGATCGGTGTAGATGAATGAAAACAAAAAGTGACACCCTCAGCACATTCTGCTGCTTTATTGATACTAATAAAAATCGTACACTACCTTCTGTAATCCGCAGTTATTACAGTGCACAACTGATCCCTATGCGATCCTCGCATGTAAAAACACCCACATAGTGATTTCCCTTGGAGTAAAAACGGTGATTGTTTTACTCTGACAGATGCTGTGGTCAATGCATATGTTATTGCGCTAGTAATTTATTTCAAGTGAACTCAATGTGGCTCAACATTCAATGATTTCTATAGCCTGTAAGAGGATGTGCACTAATACAAAAAGAGAGCTTGTTCAGTGAAGTGTCACATTGATTTTGCAACGCTGGATAGATGCATTTGAAGCATGCATTTTTCACTCTGAGCGAGTGTGAGCGCGTGCGTGCACGGGATGGCTATACTTCCTCAATACAAACAGTAAATCATTGCTCCTCCGTGCCCCCTAGTGTATTTTAATGTTTAACGTCATCATTATATTTTTATGAAAACTTGCCAGTCTCGTTTCATCACCACCCACTGTGAGTGTTTATTGGACATGAAGTTGGAAGAAGATGAAAAGGGCTTTAGTTAAATCAATTTATCTTTTCCAGTTGAAGGCACAGCAGTGGGGTAAACATTTTTTTTCAACCCCGCCCGCCGCCCCCTCGCGCTTAATTTCTCTAGAACCACAAGTAACATTTATTGACAGCTATTTTTGGACACCATAGGCATTCTTGTAAATACCTTTACTACATGATCTACTTTTGGTATATTTTAAATACCTTCATTAAGTCATTACTTCCCCCCTAATACATTGAACTACTCAGATATAAAGCAACACCGACAAAATTAATCAGCACAAGATCAAATTAATTGACCAAACCATTTGTACCGATGTTCTTCATCTTTCTGTGACTCTTCCGGTCTCTCTGTACCTCTGTTGCAACTTCCTGGTGTCCTCAGGTTTGAAGCCTCGCAGTGGCATAGAAGTGTTCAGTTGTTGGCTTTAGTTTTGGTTTCATGATGTCAAAATGTGAACAACGTGATGCAGAGGACTGTTCAAACAGTAATGCTAACTGAAATACCGGTATATTCTTCGAATAAGGACTCAAACTCTGTTCAGCTCCTTGTTAGAGAATAAGTTGGTAAAAAGTACTGAAACAGTTGGACATGTGCATTCAAAGGTTCAGAAAATTTAAAAAAAATAAGTTCACTTGTAAAGATTGAGAGAATTTTAGGTCTATGTTGAAATTTCACTTTTCTAGCCGAATATCACAAACTTTATCTGTTGACAGGTTTAAATATGCATTTGTAACCAAGAAGGACAAGGCCATAAGCAACAGAAATCATGCCAATAAATGTACACGCTCAAGACAGAACTGGTCTGTGTCGTTACAAATTTTCCTCAAAATGAACACTGATCATTATAATGTGTAACAACGTTTGAACAAGCACTGCAAACAGCAAGCATTAGCGCTGATATTGTGTTAAAACAACATGAGGGGTGTCACCGGCAATATTATAGATAAGAAGAGGAAAATGATTTGATGCTATGGTTCCAAAGTAAAATACATTTACAACTTCACATTGATTCTTTCTTGCAAACTTCTTTTCCATTTTTTTCCCCCCCACCCTTAGCCAGTTCAAGGTTTTGACTATGCGAAGCAGCATTTGGGGCAACAGGGAGGAGACGAGGAGACCCTACCTGCTGGTCAAGATACTTTGATGTTGTCCCTGAAAATTCGCGATGCACCACTTTCGCTGGAGAAGACCTTGAAACCCGAGGGCACAGTCAACAAGGCGAACCTCGCCACTGACAAATACAAAAGGTATTGCCACCTCCATGCAAATGCCCTTGTTTCAAAATGGAAACCCCGCAACATGCCCTGGCTCATTCAGAGAAGTCAAAGCGTGTAACTTGGATTTGGACCAATATCTAATAATCTAGCCCTCATTGAACACCTCAGTAATGGTTTATCGGTGGCACATATTGCAGTACTGTCCAACGTCCAATACAGCTAACGTAAGAACTCAAACATATATTTTTGTTCAGTGTAACTGAATAGTGCAGGGTGGATATAAATGAATCATTAGAGGATGATTTGAAAGAAATGTGCAATATCATGAGTGCAGTTTGGAAGGCTTAATTTTGACCAATCATTTCAAATACTTACATAATGTACTTCCTCTCCAATGCCAAATAAAGTCACCGTTATCTGCACTAAGCTTCCTCGTCCCTAAAGATTTTTCATCCTGCCATTCCCTTCATCCCATTAGTCACGATTCCACATATCTGTTCACCGAACTTCTCCCTCGCACGCAGCCAATGTAAATGTATTCTCTACGTCTCTATTAGTTATCACACAGTGCACGTCTTTGTTGAGGCCATGCTGCGCCGCCTCAACGGGAGCAGGGAGGGCATCCTCTGTTCCTCTGTCTCTCTCTTCGCCGTTATCATTCTTAGCAGACAAATAAGGGATGGACTGCGACGCTTTGATGTCACTGTCGGCGCGGCTCTAATTCCAGCCTCATTGCAGCATTTAAAGGCCCTTTAATACGGTGTGAAAAGACCCAGCGTTTGTCTCATTACGGGCAAAATAATGTTCTGTTATGTCATCCTTTTAAATGTAGCGGACGCATCTATGCATGTGCATGTATGTCGAATTTTGTTCGTTGATAAGCAACTCAGGTTGCTGAGCGATTGAACAGTCCTGTATACTTTTGGACTGCTGTTGCTTGAAACAAAGAAAAATCACAGTGTTGCAGAAGTCTCTTCTTATAACAAATAATTGCCAGCATAATTGAATTTGTTTCGAAAGGTGAGACTGTTAAAGGGAAGGGTGACAAAACCTGGCTGCGAGCCCAATTTTTGGGAGAGCTCACCGCCTCTCCTGTTGCTATGGTTACTTGCAGCAAGTTGTTGAGTGAGGACGGTTCCGTCATCAGCAGCGAATCAGAGCTGCGGAATTCCGTCCGGGGCTTGGCGGCGCCGAAAGTCACAGCGCAGCAGAAACCGATAAAGGAGGAGACGCGCAAGAGAGACGGTGAGCGTCACATGCATGCATGGATGGGGAGGGGGAGAGGGATGGTGGGGGGTGAATACAAAATCATTCATGCTTCTTACGACAAGGTCATGTGGTCGTGTGACAATCACATCCTGGTTTGTACTCTACATGCAAATATAGGCTCACATATAAAATGATTTCCTCCTTGCATTTGTGATAGCAGAAATGTTTTCACTATATGCAGAGATTGACGTGATGTTTTTTGCATAAACAGCACCCATTAATGATACTTATCATCCAGCATGTCACCAGTGGATGCTGTGAAACAAGCCCCTTGACTATGACCAATTATATATGAACAGGCTCAGATCTCACACATAATCACCGTTATTTCAGTGTGTGCATTGCTTTTTGTGTCATTTTCGTTTGGTGGCGTGCAGTGAGATTTTTTTTCAAATGAAAAGGCGCCTTGGCGAAATATAGGTTGGGAAATACCGTCCTGCTTGAAACAGCAGACTTGTTGAGACTGAATCAACAGCACATCTGCTGGTTGCCGCCAAGTGCGCTCTAGTTTGCTTCAATCGCTTGTCTATCAGAGGCAAGGTCAGGAATTTAGCTTTCAGGCCGTCGACTGTTTCGATGTTCTCTGTGATTCACAAAATACTGATTTGTGAATGAATGTATTCTCTGTTCTTCAGATCCATATGATACATCCTCTGGCTCCCTGCAGCTCATTTCAATAAAGCCCATGACAGCTCAGCTCAACTACTCGCAACATGTTTCTTCTGACCGTGACTCAGCCATGCTCAACGGAGAGGTAAATTCATTCACACGAACGCAAACCTTGACATTTCGTTGTTTGTGCCTTTCAATATGTTTTGATTGATTTCCTATTATGAGCATGATTTTTATGATGTTTGCTGAGGTGGTTATGTTGTGATGAGTATTTGTTTGTACTCCACCACCCGTCTCTTTTGATAAATACTTAGCGGCAATCCCTTTTGTCAAGGATGAACCTGAGTACACGCATAAATGTGCATCTGAATTAATTGAATTGATCTGCTTTTGGATTTCAATATATAAATAGAAATATATATGGAGTCTGAAGCGGGAAAGTAGAATCAATTTAACTCCAGATGTAATTCAGTTTGTGCATCTAGTAGATTCAATCTGTCCTAGTGACCTGGAGCCTATCGCAACTAAGTTTGGGCGTGAGGTGGGGTGCACCCAGGACTGGTTGTCACCCACTCACAGGGCATATTTTGATTAAAAACAAACAAACAGCAAAAAAAAAACATTCACACTCACCTTCTCACCTATGGGCAATCTAGAGTTTTGAATTCACCTGACTTGTTGATTTTGGCATGTGGACTGTCGAAATTGCATTTTGTTGAATGAAAGGAAAATTCAGGTAGCCATTACTTTAGGAATGCCTTCGGCCATTGATTTCATTGGTGTGACATTTTTGTAAGCCTAGATGGAGGTCTGTATCCCGAGTGCCCATGTATTAGTATGAGGCAAAAACTCAGTTAGCCTTTTTTAACAAGTTTTGAAAAGTTTTTATTCTGCCGCTCTCTCCTCCACTCGCATAGGTGAACTTAGCCCTCAAGCAGCGGTCGGACATTGAACAATACAGGAACAAGCTGAGACTCAAGGCCAAGAAGAGATATTACGACATTCCTCCAATGGATGGTAGCAGCTACAGCAGCCAGGCCCTCTCGCAAAAACAGCGGCATGGCCACGAGAGGGCAGATCTTGAGGAGGAGCGAAATTCCACCTACGTCAAGTCTCACGTGAGGTGAGGAAGAGTGGGCAACATGAATGGATATTGCGTGAATAGAAAGCTAAATTTAGGATTCAAAAAGTATTAGACAAAGAAGCACATACTGTATATGTAGCCACACACGCGGACCCCCTCCCAAAGGTAAACTTTAATGTAACTTGCGTATTAAATCTATTTTATTATTGCTCTTAATGTGAGCAATCCTTCAGTGAAATCCATATAACTGCAATTAAATCATACTCTCCTCCGAACTTGTTTATGTTTTCTGGCATCATAAAACCTCCTGTCAAGCTCAAGGTACACTAAAACATGAATTGATTTGTTCCGAATGCGCTCTCTTTATTGCTAGGCTGTTCCTAATATACCAAAGCTGTGTTTAACGGCTGCGCTGCCTAAATGTGGAACCAAATGCTGTATGACATCGGTGTGGAAATAATCCAAACTCTAAATACATGGATTATCTGTTTGCTGTAACTATTTGCTACTTTATTTTTCAAATATATCCTACAGGCACAATCAGATAGGGCAGACGTCGTATCGCAGCAGGCAGAGCCTCAATAGTCCAAGTCCTGGAGGAACAGAGATGGATTTGCTTGTGATGAGGGAGAGACCCAGGAAAGGCATCCGAAACAGCGGCTATGATGTAAGTCCCATCCGCATTCCAAAACTAGTTAACATACAGCATCATGCCATAACTTCCTGACCATACCATACAATGCAAAATTCACTGCACTACAATTCACACAATGTAAAGATCCATACCATACCATTAAATGACATGAGAAAAAACAATTGAATGAAAAGAAGTCGTCCTTCAAGTAGCGCCATCTTGACCAACATTAAAATACAGAAGCGTGATAGTATCAAAAATGGCTTTATTCCACTGTTAACTTGATGCACTGAGCATTAACACGGTGCTTAAATCAAGGAAAAAAAAAATTCCATGTCCTCCGCCTACTACCCGAAGTCAATTGGGATTGGCTCCAGCACGCCTGTGACCCTTGTGTGAATATGTCGGTTAGAAAATGGATGGATGGATGGATGGATGTCATACAGTAGTGAAAGGCAACAGTAAAAATAAAATCACTTGTCATCATCATCATTCTATTCGTGCACGTTCTCGTTCTATGACTGAACTGTTTTAGTAGTGAGGAAAACACGTCCATGGTCGTACATTCACTGCATTCGAAGGATGTTGAATGCATTGCCGGACAAAAAAATACATTCACATTCTCTCCTCCGAGTATTGGCTCTTCAATTAACTGAAGAAACGCTCATACTACATACTGTACTCAATTTGTCATTCATCATAATTGGAATAATCTCAAATTGTGTAACCGTTTTTAATCTAGTCACATGGGTGGTGAAAATAGGCCCAAAGCTTATCAGACATGACATGTCTTCTTGGCCTAGTTTACATTTCAAGTTGAGACGTGCTGCGCTCAGGTGCGGTCACTGTGTGCACCAACAAGCTGCTGGAAGAAGGTGGATTCATTTATAATCCCAAATGAACATTTATAAGGGCTTGATGTAATGCATATCCGTCTGACTGCTTCATGATGCTATCTTTTATTGTCCCATTATGGTTTCTGGCTCCCTGGTGTAATGGAGCAGACTCTTTCCGCTTGGTGTTTTTACTGTGAGCTGTTCTTTTGTAAATCATAAGCAGTGATATCACTGACTTAAATGCCGTTGCACCCCCCTCTACCCACCCCACCTCCTTTGCATTTTGTCCAGCTTTGGAAAGCGAGACATGCTCTATATGTGGTATGATGTAAGCTTACTCATTAGTGTGATACAGCAACATGGAGGGACTATTAATGTGAAAATATGGATGACAAATTTTAATGTCGGCCATCCGTGCTGATTTTATGCAGTACACTAAAGAGCAAAGACAAATAACATTTCGATGAAAGATTTTTTTTTTTAAATCAGTCATCACTCACATGCTTTTTTGTTTTTCAACCGATGCAGCCTGCGAACCAAGCCAATTATACACACACACACACACACACACACACACACACACACACACACACACACACACACACACACACACACACACACATACAAATAATTTCCTGGCTTGTTGATTCCAGTATGACCATTGTAGCTGCAAGCCCGTCACTGCAGATGTTTCTCCCGTTTCATGTTTCAGGGGGACTGATTTAAGAGTTGTACGACAGTAGGTATCCCATAGCAACCTTTTATTTGCATCGGAAGTAGGGCAGTCTTGACGCGCTTTCATTTATCACCAAAAACACAGACTAGGTGAATTGTTTGGAAAGTGGGAATTGTGAAACGTATGGAGTGGTTACGATTTTCAATGACTGATGTTGAAGAGAAAAACAAAGTGGGGCATTCTGAAATCCGATGATTTATTCTTTTCAGTGAACATGCAATGCTTTTTACCATGTGATTCAGTAAGTTTATAGTTGAGTTTCATGTGTCGGCACTCTGCGTGTTTATTCCAGACCGAGCCTGAGTTGATAGAAGAGACGAATGTCGACCATTTAATGGATCAGAGGGGCTTCGTGTACGGCCGCGGTCTGAAAGGCCAGTCACAGACGTCCACCCTGAGCTCACAGCCATCCATTGATGAAGTGAGGCAGCAGATGCACCTGCTCCTGGAGGAGGCATTCAGTCTGGCCTCGGGGGGACACTCCACATCCGGGAGGCACTCCCACCACCACCGGCCCCCTTCTGATCACTACAGCGCCGTTCCAGCTTCACTTCCCTATGCAGATGTGGTGACCAGCGCCCCGGGCACTATAAGCTGTGGTCGTGGAGGACTGCAATGGAGCCCGTCTTATGGCTCAGATGTATACCAGTGCAGTTTGCCTAAACCAGTAAGCAAGATGAGATAATATAAGGTCTCTAAAGCCAGTGTGTCCAAACTAGAGCCCAGGGGCCATTTGCAGCCTACCGTCCATTTTTTTACCGGCCTGCAACACATGATAAAATTAAAAATTGACACAACCCTGCTCAGTACAGGGGTGGCTCTATTCTTGTGGGGCACAGGGCTGCTGGCTACTCAAAGATTCTGAAAAATCCTTGCTTTATTACCGAGGGGTTATTTATTTATTTATTAGTGGAGACTGTATACAGTATACAGCAGTGCCTTGAGATACAGGACACATGATCACATTTTTTTGAGACAGAACCCAAGTCATGGGCCTTTTTTTTTTTTGCTTTGACTTGCAAGCATAAATTTTCGGTACCAGCGCTGTATGATGGCAGTTAACTCAACTCACTTCAGAACAAGCAGCAACTGGCAGATAGAAAGCCTTAGCCTTAGATAGCTTTGTCTTAGTAAAGTCTGATTAGCTTAATACAAACAAAAAAATGCAAAATGGCTTAGATGCGCTAATGAATAGCATCAGTGTCACGGTGATATAACCCTTTAAGCAACGGATATTTGAACACAAACGGCAGAGCAGCACATGCAGACATACAGCAATCCTGACAGGCATAGAGTACGTTATCTTCTGCAAAGAAATTGACTGCTGCTTGCTAAGAAAGTGTGACTGTCGCATGAACTGACTTAGGTTTTGGGTGAACATGAACTGAATGTAGTATATTTCTTTATGATGAACGTTATTGTAAGTGCTCTGTATCTGGTGTCTGTGAATGGTTTGTGAATAGCAGTTCATTTCTGCACAATAGAGACTTCCAGGCGAAAAAACACATCGGAAACGAGCCTTTGTGTCTCGTGGGATTAAACGCCTTATTTGGCACCCCCAGCCACCCACAGCGCGGCTGCCTGCATCATCAAAATGCGATGCACGCGGCCTTTGGAAGAAAAAGTTTGGACAACCCTTCAGAATCATGTTTATGAGAGTTTCTCCTTATCTCTTGTAGGCCTTTCACTTCACCCAGCTCCCTGAAATGGCAATTAGCTCGCCTCCTCCATTACCACCTCGCACTGGACCACCTCCCAGCACCTCCTTAAGACGGTAATGCTCATTAGGTTTCACTCATATGTACACATGCTGTCTGTTGCATCGCCAGCGTAGATTCCCACTCACACCCATTTGCGGGGACTTGATATATTCAAGGTAATGTACTGTGACCAGCGTGATTTCAGGCCCTGTGTACATTTTAATATTGAACTAGTGCAGTGAGGTATGGCAGGAATGCTAATGAGCTAATCGCTCATCTGCACGGAGCGTGTCTGCCCTCTAGTGGGGCTTGCTTAGTATAATTCTGTGTTTATTTCTCGCCAACCCCACGCTCAGTTCCATCTCTGACCTGGGGCCCAAGGGAAAAAGCTCTCAGACATCCGTCACGGAAATGCAGACTCCACATGACAACAACCCATATGGGCCGAGCTCCCGGGCAGCACTTCCATCCATCACTATAGAGCAGCCTGTGTCCAACTACTCAGGTGAGTGGACAGTGAACCAAGGTGACATTTTAAAAATAAGTCATGGTGTGGTCCCCCACTCTCCATGTTCTCACTCTCTCCTGGACTCTCTTCAGGAAACCCAATCACGGCCGTCTATTCCATCCCAGCCAGCAGGCCGGGCTACTCGGACTATTTCGTCTCTGCCTCGTCCACCTCCTACCACAGCCCCTCTTGGATGTCCTATCCTCCAGAACCGGAAGATGTTTCGCATCAGTGGGCAGATCCTGTATGACATTTTAATTCATTGAATTAATACGTTTATTAGAAATGGATATTTTGGGGATGAAAAATAGCCCTCCGTAATATTGTAATTCATAAAAACATGCAGTAATGACATCATTAAATAAAATTAAAAAGAATTAAGCAGTTTTTGTGACACTCCATAAATGGAATCGCTATTGTGCTGCTCATTCTGGTGTGGCACTCTTGGCCATCTGGGGGCAGTATGGGACAGACAGACGGATATACCGAGACATTTCCACTTCTCTTTCAGCTCATTAGTAAATCACTAATATAAGTAGTTTTACACAGGGAATACTGTAAAAGTATATGACTAAGTACTGTACTTTAAAATGGCCTGTCTACATGTCTTGCTGCACCATTTTTATTTGACCTATTGCTGTTTTTAGCGTCGCATTAAGCCTGAATGCACTGAAAGGTGAAGCTATGTGGTTGTTTTAAATACACATAGTGTAACTGTCTTTGTCTTATGTTTAGTGTGACAGTAAACATCAACTGCAAGTGGCAATAAACAGCGATGACAACACTTTGTGCTTTATTGAGATAATTTTAAATGTGTCTGAACTACAAACTAATTTTGGCTTTGGATGTTATTATCGGCAATGCTGAATTTCAATTTTTTTCTTATATCTTATACCCTTTTTTTTGTTCCAGCTTCCTTTGCCGGGTTATGTCGAGGCTTTTCCTCATCCTCGCTACCCACAGGGGAGCCCTTCCATACTTCCCCTACAGTACACTCAGGCTCTGGACCAACAGCCTGCCGCCCAGAGCACAGCATCCCAGAAAAGCTTGCAGCAGTCGGGGATGGACACGGACAGCATTCCCCTGAGCAACCTCTCCACCTCTGCACTTGTACATGCTATACGACAAGAGGTGGCCAAGCTGGCAAAGAAGCAGAGTGACATGTTCGACTTCTAGTATGGATCTTTCCCTTTTCCTGTTCGCCTCGCGTTGGCCCACAACAGACTCATGACAGTGGCATTCTTTCAGACTGATTTTTGATGTTTGTACTGTAAAATGACCAGATCTTATTAACCCATGGATGAATTGATTTATTTTATTACACCAGTCGGCTGCTGGCATAAGGCAACACAGTACCAGTAATTGTAGTTTTGTTATGGAGAGAAAAATCTCACCCACTGTAATTGGTTGTCCGAAGTGGCTGCACACCTCATTGTAGATATGTCTACAGTACAAGAATACCGAGTGGGGAGGAGAATATGCTTATTTGAAAGGAAGTGAACAGTCAAAATAAGCTTTGTTTTTACCAAAAGTACCAAACACTTTCTGACAGCCTGTTGACCGCAGTGTATACACGCATGTAAGACGATATTTTATCTCATCTGATGGCGTCAAAGAGATTTAGTGGTGTCACTGTCAGCCCTTTTTAAGCATCACAGTACGATAACCAACTGCCTCATTAGATTCTACAATTCCAGTGTTTTTTTTTTTTTTTTTTTTAATATGATGCTAGGACCACCATAAAACCCTTTCAGAGGAATAAAAAAAAAAACATTAAATCACTGCACACCTTTAGTGATTCATCTGAGTGGAAGAGACAACCATACTCTGCTTTGGGATAAAAGCCTTCATGGGTAAACTCAAATCGTTCCTGCAGAATTGCTGTCTGGGGGTCGTAAAGTGACAATGGGTGCCACTAAGTGCATGGAGGTTTATAGCGGCATTACTGTTCAAACATCCAGGTGCTCGAGATTGCCTCCTTGCAATGGAAAATTGCTAATAACATGCTGGGCGATAGAGCGATGAGGTTAGGAGTATAAGTCACAGTTCAATACTATCATTTTCTCTCACTCAAGAAATGTTACGTAGTCGAGCATTCAGCTCTAGAAAATAAACAAGTTGCTCACCACCCCAAAGTTGATCTGCCACTGATAACTATGTGCAGCATTTAAGGATTGAACTGTACAACTCACAGTCGTCATTTTTGTGCACATCAGCAATCAATGCAATTTCCTGGCGGATATACAGAGATATAACTCAAGATTTTTACATGGGCATTGATTGAAAAAACAACTGGAAATGAACATGAGCTAAAACACAATTTTTCATGATTGATTGATTTCCTAATTTGGAGTGTCAGACAGAGTGAAAGCACGAATGCCCTATGTGATTAAACTTATATACCAGTGTTGTTATTTTGGGTTTGATTTGTTTTTAATCAGAATAACAGCCTTAGCTCTCTTTGCTTTCAACCTGAAAATGTCATTTCCCACAGTTCATAACTGGATTGCTCTGAGCCAGGTGAGAAAGTATGTCGACTTCCATTGTGAGAAATTACATTTGTAGAACGCAATTTGTAACAATACTGATGTGATTTCCTTTCCTCAGGCTTCTCTATCTCACTCTCGTCAAGGAGGTTCCTACCGATGTTGGTGAAGGCAAAATTAAATTCATCACAGCGTTCATCTGCTTTTTGTCGAACTGGGATTGCATTTCTGCAACCTCCTGTGGAAAGAATCCATTTAAAATGGCTGAACAGGAAAAAAACAAAACGAAACAGAGGTTGCGCTAGACCTTTTAGTCCCTTCTTTAATCTCAATTTGTCACTGTGTATGGTGTGTCAGAAAAAAAGTCCTGGTCTGGTGTCACAAAAAATGTATTTCAAACGAGGGTTTTTTCTTCATTATTTTTTGAGTGGGAAAGTAAAAATAAACACTTGTGTGGTTGCATAACTGGGCACACTATATATGGTGGGTGAAGTTGTGTTCAGAATTAAGTAATCACATTCAAACTCATCTTGAATGAAAGCCGGCACACATCTGTCAACATTGAATGGGCCTCTAATTTGCCCAAAATAAAGCTCAAATGTTCGAATAGGCTTTTCCTGACATTTGGTTTCCATTTCCAGGTGAAGGAAAAACAGCTCCCAAGCATGATGACCACACTTCACTGTTGATGTGGTCTTTTGGTGATGAGCTGTGTGTTGTGTTTGTGCTAAACAAACCATTTATGGTCGAAAGGCTTCAAAGTGGTTTGATTAGACCGATCAGTCCTGGAACTTTTCTGACACTCCTCTTTACACATGACCAAATGTATCATTCTAACTTTGTGTGAACAGTACAACCGAGTACATAATTCAAGCTCTTTTAAAGTATGTTTAATGAGTGTGTGAAAGAACATGAGAGCCCTGACCCAGCAAACACTTTTGGGAGTGAACTAAAATGGTGATTGTGAGCATGCGTTATCCAACATAATACAAGACTAAAAACAATGATGCTCGTACATCAACGAAAACCGTCAAGGAGGAATTAAAACTTCGTTCAATTAAATATATTACTTGGCAGCAGCACAGTGTTGGTCAGTGTGCATATAGTACATTCCCCTTGCTTATATGGGTTATCTCTGGCGACTCCAGTTTCGGTCCAGACTCCCACAACAGGCGTGTCAGTTGAATGAAGAACTCGATTAAATTGTCCATAGGTGTGAATGTGAGTGTCAATAGTTGTTTGTCTATATGTCCTTCGATTGACCGGTGACCAGTCCAGGCTGTACCCCGCCTCGGCCCAAAACCACTGACATAGGTTCAAGCTCACCCATGACCCTGATGAGGAAAAGCACTACAGAAAATGAATAAATGATTTCAGATGGCATTGTAGATCATCATTTCAGAAATGATAATTTCCTTGCAATCCCATCAGGCGCATGATTCTGATGCCATATTACATAATTTTCTCTTCATTGTTTACGCGCATACCGCCCACTAATCTTCAATTTGCAGGTCAGAATGGTGTGCAGTGAATATGTAGTTCCGAATCTGTCCGCCAGGGCTCAGCATCGCACCATACAAACCAATGCCAGCATGAGGCCCGTCCTTGGCGCTTAACCACAATAGTTTGTGCGTGTCGAATTAGATCATTTAAGAGTAACATTCAATATATCCAGTTTGATTTAATGTGCAAGGCGTGTGTATTCTTTGTGTCAGTACAATACATGATAATTGACAACGTATAAGTTAAATGTTTATTAACTGGGGCAGATGTTGCACACAATCAAAATCCAATGACAACCGTGTATCATCAAATTGTGGCCTCTGCCCCAATTGAGGCTGAAAATTAATAAATCCTTGGGTGCTTTGTCCATTAAACCAAATTAACGCTTTGCCTCGAATGGACGTCTCATTTTTCCCCATCAGGAATAACAGTAGTGGTGCGATTATCCATCCATCAATGACCTAATCCGCTTATCCTCACGAGTGTCGCGGGCATGCTGGAGCCTATCGCAGCCGTTTTCGGGCAGTAGGCGGTGTACACCCTGAACTGGTTGACAGCCAATTGCTGGGCACATATAGACAAACGACCATTCACACACACAGACAATACTGTAGCACCAAGGGACGATTTCGAGTGTTCCATTAAACTGCCATGCATGTTTTGGTTGACTTCTCCTGTCAATTTTATCCATCCATCCATCCATTTTCCGAACCACTTTATCCTCACAAGGGTCGCGAGGTGTGCTGGAGCCCATCCCATCTGTCTTCGGGCAGTAGGCGGGGGACACCATGAACCGGTTGCCAGCCAATCGCAAGGCACACAGAGATGAACAACCATCCGCGCTCACAATCACACCTAGGGACAATTTAGACTCGTGTTCAATCAGCCTGCCATGCATGTTTTTGGAATGTGGGAGGTAACCGGAGTATACAGAGAAAACCCACACAGGCACGGGGAGAACATGCAAAGGCCACACAGGAAGGCTGAAGCCGGAATCAAACCCTACAGACCTACCTCAAGTCTGAATCAAGTAAATTTGCTCAACTATTGCAGATCATAACCAATAAAGTACATTGGCTTTAATCTCTGCTTTTAATTTTTTTTTTTAAACAGGTACTATCAGGCCCACTGTCAGCAATTTAGAGTTCAGTGTCTTGCACAGGGACGCTTCGATGGTGAACAGTGGGAAATCAAACTGCCAACCCAACACTCACTGGATAACTTGCTGTACCAATTCAGCTCCATCCTCTAGCAAGACCAGCATGCTGCTGTTCCCCTGCTGGTAGCTGATGATACCGGCAAGACCAGCATGAGAACACAACAAAAACAGGTTTCTGGTTATGTTGGGTAGCATCTTTGCTTGTTTACTAAAAAAAAAAAAAATTACTTCCCCTGCTTATCTTTTTTGACAGTTTTACACGCAACTTCCAAATGTTTGTGATGCATTCCAGCCCACCTCAATTGCAGTTAAGAATAGCACCTAACAAGTGAAATGCTGGCCAGATAATAACAGTTTTTATGATGTCAAGGCTTTTCGAGCCGCAATTAGGTGGAGTTGACCGTCTTTCAACTTTATATGCAGGAAAAACTACTGGTTACACTACCACCTGCCTGCACCTCAATCAAATCGACCAAAATCACATTAAACTACCTGCGCCACAACTTAGACCTACTATTGTCTAGTCTAATGTCTAGTCTACTTTTGGTCACCAAATTGTCAGTTTCGGGGGGCCCTGTAATAAAAAACGGTCTTGGTCTACACCGAATGCTCAGCGTGGTCTGCCAAATTCACAAACACGTTAAACTACACTTGGAGAAGTGCTAGTTTTTACGCACAGTGTATTTGTTCATGTCTATGAAAATAGAGACCCCTTTGCACTAAGACATGCGCTGGGCATGAAAATAGGGCCCTTTTTGCTTTTTGTAGTTGAGTAGATGCAAATCCCCAGCAATGTATGTGAGGAAAAATGGTAATTGTTTTTGCAAGGGCAAAAATTTGTATACTTCTCTCGTATTGACTCTATTAAGCATTATGCGCACACTGACGCTCTGTATTTTATTTTTAAAGGCATTCCTAGTGGGATGTTGAAAGATGACTTGAGTTGACACTTACATTTATATCCATAGTTGCATCCGTTTTCTTTATGGCGACTCTTATCTTTAATTTACTGACATAGTTCCCATTGTGTTTTTTCCCCCTCCCAGGTAAAGCACTGTAATTGAATGTGATGTTGCTCTGAAGGCCAATTATCTTTAATAAAAGCCACTTTAAGTAATTATCATAGACATTTGAGCAGACATCAGCGTAGAGCTTTAGAGAATTAACGCAATGTGGCACGCAAGGACAGGTCAAGGGAGTACAATGGACTTGCAGATAGTTCATCACTGTAAAAAAAAAAAAAAAAAAAATCCTAGGCTTTATGATCCTCTGGAGCGGGACTAAACTTTCACATCATTGTCTAACTGTATTGTGATTGAGGCCAAGCTTTAAAAGCTGAGGCTCAATATAATTCATGAAAAGAATCGGTGGTATTAAACTCAGTGGCGGACTCACTTATAACTTTACCCTCAAGTTATCTGCTATCTTGTTTTATCATTTGCCTTTGGGTTGAAAAAAAATGTTGCAGTTTTAACATACTCAGTATAAAGACACAAAAATTAAAATGACATCTTATGTCTTCATCTTCAAGAAATTTGGAAGAATTCCATACAGGGAACA